CAACTATCTTAACGCGATTTTCCAGATTTTCAACTATCGCAACGCGAAATGGAAATCGCAACGCGATTTTCAACTATCGCAACGCGAAATGGAAAATCGCAAAGCGAAATGGAAAATCGCAATTCAACTATCGCAACGTGAAATGGAACACGAATTTACGATACTGGAGATCGCAATGCAAATTAGAGATCGCATTGCGATTTTGTTGGTCATTTTCACAAATCCAAAAAAAGTTGGTCAAAATCGTATATTATCTGAGATTTTTGGTCACTGAAATTATTTTCTCTAATTAAAATCAATGAGTTACTGCACGGTGATTCAAACCAAGGACCAAGTGGGTCCCTGGGCTCACTTTTGCTGTTAGTCCAAGTCATCCATTTTGTCTCAAATTATACAATCTTTTATATATTGTGTTTAGAATTATCTTAAATTGCACAAATTTTTATATATTGTATTTAGGATTATTTAATAAACACATATAATTATTAAAACAAATATAATAATTAAATTATATTTCATATATATTTAAATTATAGTTAATGCCAGATTTAAAAATAAAAATGAGTTTAATATTTTTATTTTTAAAAATTAAATTATTTTTATTTTGTGATTTGGATTCTCTAAATAGTTTTCAATATAATTTTATTTTTAGTATAATTTATATATTATTTTTATTTAAATTATTATTTAAAATTATTTTTAAGTAATAATATATAAATTATATTAAAAAATAAAAATTATATGAAAAATTATTTAGAGAATTTAAATCACAAAATAAAAATAATTTAATTTAAAAATAAAAATATTAAACTCATTTTTATTTTTAAATGTTGTATTAATTATAATTTAAATATATATAAAATATAATTTATTTATTAGATTTGTTTTAATAATTTAATATATGTGTGTGTGAAATAATTCCAAACGCAATATATTAAAGATTGTGCAAATTGAGATCAAATGGATAGCTTGGCCTAGTGGCAAAGGTGGTCCTAGGGACTTAGGGTGCTTAATGAGTTGAATAGTTCGTGAGCATCTCAAACTCGACTCGGTCAAAGCTCGGTAAAAACTTGAATCGAGACCTTAATAAGTTGAGTCGAGCAAAATCCAACTCGACTCGATAAGTTCGTGAGTAGCTCATTAATTTTGTTTTATATAATTTTCGGTAGTTATCTTAAAAATAATTATTTCATATACTCAAAAATCAAACTTTATTTATTATTTTAATGTATTTGTGGAATGTTACTTTAGAGTTTAGACTTTAAAATTACTTGTGGAATGTTACTTTGGAGTTTAGACTTTTGGTTAAATTTATTAATTTATATTTTTATTAAGTTCTATATAATTAGTAGATTTTACATATAGTTAAGAAAATAAGATAAAAATTTTGGTGAGCTTAGCTAACAACGAGGTGAGCAATGAGCATCGAGCTTAACGAGTAATGTGCAACGATTCGAGCAAAATATTTTCTTAAGGACCTTGAGTCAAGCAAAATTTTAAAGAGCTTAACGAGCAATGAGTCGAGTCGAGCAACACAATTTTTTAATGAGCATGAGTCGAGTACTACCCAACTCGCGATTGACTCGCTCGATAAGTACCCCTACTAGGGACCCTCTTGGTCCATAATTTGAATCCCCCAAGCAATAACTCATTGATTCTAACTATTTTCCCTTTACACTTGTGGTGACACGTGTCACCACTTGATTGGTGAAAATATTTATTTAATTAAAATATGAAAATTAATTAAATTAACCTTCCAATCATATAGTGATACATGCCATTTAAAAATATGTCGTAATAATCTTCTAACACGTGACACCTCCGGATTGGATGGTTAAATTTATTTAATTGAATTAAAATAGTGACTAAATTGATAGAATGTGTAAGTATCATGGACCAAATATATAATTATGCTAATTTTATTAACTGACACGTCACCACCTCGTTAAAAATTAACGTCCAATGGCTTGATTGAAGCATTTAAATAGTTGGGTAGTCTTATTGATCAAATCGAAATGTAAATGGTCAAAATGAAAATAAGTAATAGTTAGTAGTCTCCTGTGTAATTTACCCAAAATTTAGACACTTATTAAATATTAAAAAATAAATTATAATAGCAAACTCCTAATAATAAATATTAAAAAAAATAAGCTCACAATGATAAATATTAAAAAAGTTAAACCCCTTCTGTTGAGTCCCAGGTACGGCCTGTTAGTTGTTAAAAGATCAATGTCAAGCTGAATTCGATTCCCCCCTCCCATTTGGTTCATTTTGTTGACGTTAGTTGTAAGACGTGATGTTTCTGCCGAAAGATGGCATCAGCCAATAGGGTGAGCATCGTAGGCTAATCATAGCAAAAACACTTCAATGATATACATCATTAGGCCAGTCACATGTTTTCGCCATTGACAGTTTCTTTTTAAAGCTTAGATCCAATTATATCAAACTTTATTTTCTCTATTTAACCCGAAATTTATGGCAAAACCCTCATAATGTTCAGAACTTAATTTAAAAAATATTTAACTTTTTATCGTTGGATCGAATAAAAGTTGAATCGAATCCGAAGCTTTGTTAGAAAAACATCAAGCTCTTTCTATCTGATCCATTTTGTGTTGGTTTTCACTGTAAAAAGAGATGGTGTAACAGAGAACTTATCTTAGACTAATCTAATCCATCCATTTTAAGAGTGGGTCTGATTCTACTTTCAAAACTTTCATACAATTAATGATGATTTTGTTGAAACAAGTGATCAATGAAATAAAGAAAAGAAAACCTTTTCCTTTTCCTAGCTCCTAGTCTTCCTTCAATAAAGTTGTATATTTTTATTCACTGGTAATATTTTTGGTGGATCGTTAATTCAGTTAAATTCAGGGTCGGACGTTAGAGTCTACGTCATGTCTGGAAGCCACCACCACCACCGATCCAAGCCAAAAGTTTGTCCTTGTTGCTTGGTTTTTGGCATAAATTTTTTACCTTTAAAAATACCCAGTAATACTAATTAAATAATGGGTCAGTCGCCTTCCCCAGCATGACCCATATGAGGGATTATATCTAATAGTTCCTTCAACAAATCCAAAGGTCAGACTCAAATTTGCGGACAAATCTTTCTCCGAAGAAAAAAAGGCCATTTGTTCTCTGCTTGACCCTCCTTCCTCCTGGTTTCAAACACCCCTAAATTCTTCAAAACTGTTTCTATCGTAAACGTTTTTGTTTTTGGGGGAAAAGCAGATGCTTCAACATTAATTTTGGTTGTCTTTGAAACCGTTTTTGGTCGGTTCTTTGAGGTTTTAAGACAAGCTTGGTTATCTGGAAAGTTGTTTCTAGTGTTGGGTCTTGTCCTTCTTAATTTTCTCTCCTTGAATTTTGGTCTGTTTTGGGAAATTTGGAGGGATTTCAAATCTTCAAGCAGCCATCTGTTACTGAGCTTTTTCTCTTGTTGGCAGTATTAGTGCTGAAGAAAGATTAAGGTAGTTGCAGTGGTAGTTGGGATTTTCACGAGAAAATTTTGGTTTTTTTCACGAGAAAGTGTGAAGGGCGCTCTCAACTGCTGCACTGATTGTTTATAAAGCCTTTTGTTCGTTTTCTCTTACATGTCCTTGCCGTGTCTTTCGCTATGAATAATTCTGGGGCAGCTGTTGAAGTCACAAAGGATAGAAATGGAATTGATCAGATTCTGCTTCGGAATCCTCGAGGAACATCTGCAAGGGTCAGAATCTTTTTGTCTCTAATTTTGATCTTCTTTTGTTTTCTAGTCTTTTTTCCGTAGTTTTTAAGGTATCTGGAATATTGAACAAGTTGAATAGGTTGAAGAACAGTTTAAGATGCTTGATTCTAGTTGTCATTTTCCCTCTCAATCAAACTGCAATTTGGGGTTAAATAGTGATATTTGTTGCCTGAAATCTCTTCAGGTTAGCTTGCATGGAGGACAGGTTCTTTCATGGAGGACCGACCGAGGTGAAGAATTGCTATTCACAAGTAGCAAGGTAACATTCAAAATCAGCAGTATTAAGTCACAGTATCTGTATTATGCAAATATTTACGGTACAACTTGTCATCTGAGCCATTTTTGTGTGTTTGTAGGCAATTTTCAAGCCACGTATGCAGTTCGGGGAGGATACCTATAGTTCCCACAGGTATTTAGGATCCAGTGCTTATATGCATCAGTTTTCTGTCAGTCTGTATGCATCTGGTTGATGGGTTTTCTTTTGAATTTGTTAGTTTGGTCAGCGAGGATCGCTTTGAGCAACACGGGTTTGCCCGGACAGGACCTGGATCATCGATGAGAATCCACCACCTTGGCATCCAAATGGTTCCAATGGAAAAGCCTATATCGATTTACTGCTAAAGCCATCGGAAGATGATTTGAAAATCTGGCCACACAGGTGAGTCATCTCTCTCTCGCGCTCTCTCATTTGTCCATTCTTTTCAATTAAAACTTGTTTTATTGTGATTGTGTATGTATATTGATCATTGATCTATACCCTTCCAGTTTCGAATTTCGTCTTCGAGTATATTTGACAGCAGATGGGAATCTAAGCTTGATATCACGCATCAGGAATATTAATTGCAAGCCTTTTAGTTTCTCAATTGCTTATCATACATATTCTCCATCTCTGATATCAGGTACATGCTCTTATGGTAAAGAAAGTAAAGCACTCAATCATGGGAAACATTATGATCTAGACATTAATGGATCTTTTTGTATACTACTTAACAGTGAAGTGAGGGTAGAAGGATTGGAGACTCTTGACTATCGACAACCTATGCCAAAGGGAGCGCTTCACCGAACAAGGAGATGCCTTAACATTCGAATCTGAGGTAAAGCCTTCGAACGGAAAAGCTTTTCAGTTCTCGGAAAGCATATCGGTTTGGTTGATAAACTATTATGCTGGTGCCAAGATGCTGTAAACAAGCATTTTGCAAGTAACAGAATAGGTTTTTAAGCCTCAAGTATGCGCTTTTTTCGATTTGTAGATCGACAGAGTTTATCTTGGCTGTTTCTATCGTAAACGTTTTTGTTTTTGGGGGAAAAGCAGATGCTTCAACATTAATTTTGGTTGTCTTTGAAACCGTTTTTGGTCGGTTCTTTGAGGTTTTAAGACAAGCTTGGTTATCTGGAAAGTTGTTTCTAGTGTTGGGTCTTGTCCTTCTTAATTTTCTCTCCTTGAATTTTGGTCTGTTTTGGGAAATTTGGAGGGATTTCAAATCTTCAAGCAGCCATCTGTGACTGAGCTTTTTCTCTTGTTGGCAGTATTAGTGCTGAAGAAAGATTAAGGTAGTTGCAGTGGTAGTTGGGATTTTCACGAGAAAATTTTGGGTTTTTTTCACGAGAAAGTGTGAAGGGCGCTCTCAACTGCTGCACTGATTGTTTATAAAGCCTTTTGTTCGTTTTCTCTTACATGTCCTTGCCGTGTCTTTCGCTATGAATAATTCTGGGGCAGCTGTTGAAGTCACAAAGGATAGAAATGGAATTGATCAGATTCTGCTTCGGAATCCTCGAGGAACATCTGCAAGGGTCAGAATCTTTTTGTCTCTAATTTTGATCTTCTTTTGTTTTCTAGTCTTTTTTCCGTAGTTTTTAAGGTATCTGGAATATTGAACAAGTTGAATAGGTTGAAGAACAGTTTAAGATGCTTGATTCTAGTTGTCATTTTCCCTCTCAATCAAACTGCAATTTGGGGTTAAATAGTGATATTTGTTGCCTGAAATCTCTTCAGGTTAGCTTGCATGGAGGACAGGTTCTTTCATGGAGGACCGACCGAGGTGAAGAATTGCTATTCACAAGTAGCAAGGTAACATTCAAAATCAGCAGTATTAAGTCACAGTATCTGTATTATGCAAATATTTACGGTACAACTTGTCATCTGAGCCATTTTTGTGTGTTGTAGGCAATTTTCAAGCCACCGTATGCAGTTCGGGGAGGGATACCTATATGTTTCCCACAGGTATTTAGGATCCAGTGCTTATATGCATCAGTTTTCTGTCAGTCTGTATGCATCTGGTTGATGGGTTTTCTTTTGAATTTGTTAGTTTGGTCAGCGAGGATCGCTTGAGCAACACGGGTTTGCCCGGAACAGGACCTGGATCATCGATGAGAATCCACCACCTTGGCATCCAAATGGTTCCAATGGAAAAGCCTATATCGATTTACTGCTAAAGCCATCGGAAGATGATTTGAAAATCTGGCCACACAGGTGAGTCATATCTCCTCTCTCGCGCTCTCTCATTTGTCATTCTTTTCAATTAAAACTTGTTTATTTGTGATTGTGTATGTATATTGATCATTGATCTATACCCTTCCAGTTTCGAATTTCGTCTTCGAGTATATTTGACAGCAGATGGGAATCTAAGCTTGATATCACGCATCAGGAATATTAATTGCAAGCCTTTTAGTTTCTCAATTGCTTATCATACATATTTCTCCATCTCTGATATCAGGTACATATGCTCTTATGGTAAAGAAAGTAAAGCACTCAATCATGGGAAACATTATGATCAAGACATTAATGGATATCTTTTCTTGTATACTACTTAACAGTGAAGTGAGGGTAGAAGGATTGGAGACTCTTGACTATCTCGACAACCTATGCCAAAGGGAGCGCTTCACCGAACAAGGAGATGCCTTAACATTCGAATCTGAGGTAAAGCCTTCGAACGGAAAAGCTTTTCAGTTCTCGGAAAGCATATCGGTTTGGTTGATAAACTATTATGCTGGTGCCAAGATGCTGTAAAACAAGCATTTTGCAAGTAGACAGAATAGGTGTTTAAGCCTCAAGTATTGCGCTTTTTTCGATTTGTAGATCGACAGAGTTTATCTTGGCTCAAGAGATGTTGTAGCGATATTCGACCACGAACGAAAACGAACCTTTTCTATTCGGAAAGAAGGCCTTCCAGATATTGGTAAGTTTTAGAAACCTTTTCAATTCAATCTAAAGCATGTGCTGATTAATGGCATCCACCTGAGAGGCTGGGAGAACCAAAATGGCCTTGATGTCAAGTTCTTTTGCATTTCTGCAGGTGTTTGGAATCCATGGGAGAAGAAATCTAAAGCCATTGCTGATTTTGGGGATGAAGAATACAAGCAGATGCTTTGTGTCAATGGCGCAGCAATTGAAAAACATACTCATAGCTCTCGAGCTCTCGGTTGTCCCTTCAAGTTAAGGACAGCAAGTAACGCAAATAAAAAAAACCCTTAGAAGAATTGAATCAGTTCATTTGTATTCAATTATATATATGATACTAAGCTAATAATAAGAGATCTGATCACTGTCTGTCCCTCCCTAGTGATAATGGAAGTGTAAATTCCTGGAAGTTGGAGATCTGTTTTTGTGTTTCTCCATGACAGCAGTGACATTAGTTGTTGTTTTTAACTACTAAACATATGTGTAATGGACTCTGGAAATCGAAATTGACAATGTTTGCAAAAAGAAATGAAAAATAGATGTTATTCAGTCTCTCTTCTGTATACGTTACCTGGAAAAAGGATACAAAAGATGATGTTTAATAAGAAAATAAAACCAATAACGAGTTGATAGATGTATTAAATCCTTCAAGCGAAGTTAGAAAAAGCAAGTTGGGTTGAGAGGATTGTGACCAATAATAACCTCCTCCAAAACTAGGGATGACAAACAGGCAGGGGTGCAGATACCTCTTCCCTCATCTTTGTATCCACATATTATTTTTGTATCCACCACCGACGATGGGTAAATTTTTTAAATCTACAGCCGCCCACGTGGATACACTCTCATATCCATCCCCACGCCTATTATCCAACTAGATACTGACCACCCATCCGTACCCGTCTGTATCCACCCATACCCACCAATTTGAGATATAAGAAACGACGTCTTCAATTCTAAAAATATTTATACCTAACGTTTGGTTAAATTATAAATCATGTCCAATAAAATCTTAATGTCTACAGAATAGTCTCTAAAATTATACATGAATTCATAATGGTCCAAAATTTATATGGTGAGTAGTTAGTGGACGGGCAGAAGTGGGGCGGGTGGATGCGAGGCTGGGGGATGCGGGACTGGTAAGATCTCAAACCCATCATCTACCCACTACCCACTAAACTTATACCCATCCCCGACCCAATTAGAGCAGGTACGGTGCGAAATCCATAAAATTGTACCCGTCTGCCATCCTTATCCAAAACTTGTTCTCAAATAATCAATTAATAGATTGGATATCATTCGTTAAAATAATAATAACAATAATAATAGAGGAGATGAAATAGGCTATATCTGTTATGAATAAGATCAAAGCTCTTAGTTATGATGGTCTCACGGCTTCAAAGTTGCAAATGGGAGGGCTTCGTTCCATTTGGGCTTTGGTCTGTAAATGAATGTATAAATAAAAAACAGGCCGTCCCTATAAAATTAAGCTCGAACTCACTAAATTTAAAACCATACTCTAGCAAAACCCAATTACCATTTAGTATAAACAATTTAATCATTCCTTTACATTATTCCATTATTTAATTTATCTTTAAAACTTATATGTTACGAGTACCTCAAACCTTTTGAATAAGTTTTACAAAATATATTCTCTTCCAATTATATATGGGAAAATTTATAGGAAATATATTCAAATTTATTTCATTTCATTCAGAGTATATGATTTTTTGGGTCAAAGAAAGGAAGTTTTTGTTGAAAGCAAAATTAATATGGTTACATGATTATAATTTAAAACTAACCATATCTATGTCGATTTTAAAAAAAATTGTAAGTAATAATTTGTGTAAAAATTTATAATATTAGATGATGTTTGATAAATTGAAAAAATTATGTGTTTAAAAAATAAATACTAAAAACAATGACTGTTGAATTTAAATTATAGATATGTTTTATGTTTTAATTAAAATATAAATAATAAAGGTTAATATACTCATAAGAAATAAAAAGTTAAAGAATATTTTCTGTCAGTTGACAAGTAAGTAATTATTTACTTAACATGTTTATATTTTTCATTAAAAAATTAAAAAAACAATTTTAAATTATTAAACATATTTAAAATAATAAATAAGTTAAATGATTTATTTTTAATGAATTTAAAATTTTCATAGTAAAAATTTTGAGTACATATTTTTTCAATAACTTTGGGTACATTCTAATTACTACACGGTATGCACTATATATATGCAATTATTACTTTGAGTACATTCTAATTAATCAAGCAATAATTGAACTTTAATTAAAAAAACAATAATTGAACCTTTTTGTCATTTCACTTTAATTATCTTCAACCATTTTTGTTTATTAGTAGACCATATATTCCTTTAAAAGATTTAGAGTACGTTTTTGTTTTAAAAAATATTAGTTATTTTCATTTTTTTAAAAGTAAAAAATATTGAAGAAAACGTGTTTGATAGTAAAATTGAAAAATGATTTCTGAAAAATAAAAACGAAAACAAGTGAAAACATAAAAAAAAATGTTTTCAATATTTTCATTAAAATTGTTTTGGAAATTTGAAAATAAGAAAACATGATATCTAGTTTTTTAACGTACCTTACATAGGTATAATTCATTTTAACAATATTTTTTTTAATTTAATGTTATTTGAAACCCTCAAACTTTTGCAAAAAGATCAATATGATCCCTAAACTTCTTTTACACTCAATATAGTCCTCAAACAAATTTTTGGTTAATAGTTTAATTTTGTAGCATTTTTATATTTAATATATTTAATATCTTAATAATTATTTAATATTTATATTTTTAATTTAAATATTTTTTAATTTTTAAAAAATTAAATAAGTCTTCGAACTTTCTAAAATAATCAATTAAGTCTACCTATCATATCATCGTCCATCGTGTACTATTACAATAATATCATGAGCTGTCACATCAATATTGTAAATTGTCATAAAGTTTATGAATTGTCATGTAAGTGGTCGTGACGGTCAACATTTGATTTTACTGTTCAAATGGTTAGGTTAATTTTTTTTATAACTTTAAGGATCACATTTGGTGAAAAAAATGTTCAGGGACTACACTAGTTATTTTTTCAAAAGTTTGAGGGTTTCAATTATCACTAAACATATTTTTTATGTTAATGAAACTTTTTATATGCTCTTGCTTATAACAACATTTTTGTGTAATGTTTTTAAATTTAATCGATGTCCAATATGCATCCATATTATAATCTTATTATGAACTAAAATAAATTTTGGGTTATAGAACTTCTTATCAACTTTATTATTTTATATTTGCATAACTCACATGTTAAATTTATATGATGATTTTTAAATAATTATAGTTTAATTTAATTATTTAATAACTATTTGTGTATTTTATTTTAAAAAGTTAGATACCAAATACAATTTTACTATTTTAGTTTTGGATTCACGTTTTCATTTATATTAACCAAACATGTTTTCTAAATTTAAAAATATCTTTTATATTGTGACCAATTCCAAAGTTAGTTCTATACATATGACCAGCAACGAGAAAAAGAAATGCAATAGCTAAATGATGGTGTGCAGTATCAGTCAGCCATAAACTTTGCGTTTGTGGATGGAATCCCCTGAAAAGGGTTAGAATAGCAGTTCCTGATCCTTGGGAGGTTCCAAATAAACGACTACATGAATTGGGGTTTTGAGCATAAAGATTCCACTGCCCTGAAAAAAAATTGGCCTACCCCTTGGGGATGCGGTAATACATCTAAGAAATTATTCCATCGAACATATTCCCCCTGGATCCAGGAATAGCGACATGGACTAAGTGCCATGTCCAAGCTAAGGAACTTACTCTTAATAGTTCTGACAAATGATGATTGAGACGAGATTCGGTGTGGTTCATGAAAACTATTTTCTGAAGAAAAAAAAAACAGAAGCTAAAAATAAAAAATATTTTCTAGAAGCAAACGGATTCTTAGTGGATCATATAAATGCTAAATTTAGATGCTCATTACCATATTGAAGCCATTATTGTTTATTTTCTATGGTACCAATACATGTTTTACAATTTTAAGCCCAGGAAAGTGTAAGGAATCATGAGTGCGTGATATATGCCTATTTTGCAATTGACAAGCTAATTTGATGTCTATTGATTTCGAATTTTCTGTTGGAGATGGACATTCAAACCTTGTTACCCTAAAATATTTTATCTTAAAGTCATCCACAAAGTCCAAAATTCATTCGGTGTAACGAATTTACTGTCACAAAGTAAATATGTTAGGTTCACAATGATTTCAGTCAGATCTTTACAATTTTATATTCAAACTAACCATAGAATAATCATGTGACCACTAAATATTCAAGATATATAATAAAGTATCTCACATGGATAAAGGCACATAAATCATACCTTATACATCTACAAGATAATCAACTCGTGATTCTCTAATCAACCTAGAAGGAATGAACCACAAATCATCGATCTAATCACATCTCTTTTAATGTAAACCAGTATAAACAATTACACCACCCGTTGTAAATCAACATTGATACGATGAACATGGATCTTTCTCGTATAAAAAAGTAGATATATAACGTAAAATACAGAAACATGCAACATTCTTCTCAAATTGACTCTAAAATTCAACCCAAAAATGATAAGATGAAATATGTTGTACCAATCCAATTTAAGATGAAATGAGATTAACACAAGCATCGGTGACTACACTACGTTTCGTCTTGAGCAAAACTATTAATAATTGATAATGGAAAACTATATTTGTGCCGGTGTGATTTGTGTAAAAGTTAAACATTTTTATCGTGCCATATTTGAGTAAGCGTTTTTTTAGAAATTACTTCAAAATGTTGATATAATAATGAAGAACAAAATTTGGCATTATTCCATAAATAAATAATGTATATTGAGATATACACATCTAATTACGTAAATATAATTACATTTATTAACTTAAAAAATATAACTACATTTGATTGAAATTAACATAAACTCAAAATAATTTGAATTAAAAAAATTAAACTAAAAAATCCGAACTGACCTAACTCGAGTCACTCGTATGGGCTAGGTTTTTGCATCGCCAACAAAGTGGCAACTTTAACCAAATTTAGTTTCCAACACAAAATACCAACTTTTCATTTCTTACTTTTCCCCTACTCGTCTCTATCTGCATAAATGGTGCTCTTTATGCTTTCATAAAGTTGTTTCTATATGTTATAAAATGAAATTTAATTCATAAAAATTTGAGGGGAAAAAAAAAGCTTGAAGACGGAAAATT